ATAAGAAGAAGCATATATATATATATATATATGCTTCATAGGCTTATCACTATTATTGTAATGGTTATTTGACTATCAATGGAGCATCAGAGCAAACTAATGAAACCCGAGTTCCAGGTCTCTCTAGCTATACCTATCCTTGTATTCTTTACTTGGATATACAATGTTTATGTTTTGTTAATATGTATATATATATATAGCCTGTGATTTAGCTTTAATTAATTTCGTTAGTGTATAAAATATGATCAGTTAGCCACCAACTAAATCTAATATGTGACAGATTCTGCATTCGAAGGCAATTTTGACAATAACAATAACAGCCAACAAAACAGATATAGAAAAAAATAACATAATAATTCATAAAATAATTTCTTACAATACATAATACTTGCTTCACTCTCTTTCAACTTGTCAATCAGAATCAAGAAAATCTATACACAGTCCCACATTATAATTTCAAAAAGGATAAGAACAGTAAACCAAGCTGTTCTTTTTCTTGATCTTCTTCAACTTGAGGTTCATCTTCTAGCACTGTTTTTCAATAGTTCCAAAAACAATCAAGGTCCATTGATGCAACTAATGTAGAAGTTGCTGCATCTTGATCATCACCTGACCTTTTTCCCACTTCAAGATTTGATATGACTGAATAGATTTCAGTATTCATGTCTGTAGTACTGTCTTGTGAGACACCGACCATCAATCTTGAAACTTTGCTGCTTAATGTTTGTGCCTTGGTTTGCAATCAAGGCTCCTAAGATCGAGTGGTCTTGCATTAAAACAGAACCTGGATTTTGTAAGTTTCCTGATATCGGGACAGCCTGAGGAGTGTAGAATGGATTCAAAAGTGGGATTCGTGGAGAAACCTCTGAAGGGTTTGTTGAAACTGCTGAAAGATGATTGTCGAAGCTATCAATCGTGTCTTGTTGGTTTCTTTGAACATTAATGGGATTGGAGAAGCAGGGCACGTAGGCCGACTCGGCCTTAATCTTGCAATTCATTACTAAATGGCTGACCGGGTTTCATTAGTGTCCATCAATGAGAGCTCGCAGGGTAATCCTAGACATTAAACTCTACTCATTGATTGGTTGAGATTTATTTGTTTTGTTGTACAGATCACTTTTATATAATATAATTTCCTACATTGTCACTCCTAATTTAAAAAGGAAAGACAAATTTTCCTATACTACCAGACACAGACACAGGACAGCTGCCCGGTTAAATTTCCTACAATTTTTTGTTTTCCCCTTCAATATATATATGGCAGCAGTCGGATGAAGATGAATATTTATGTCTCTTCTCTTTCTCTGACCTTCTGCTTTAAAGTAGGCTTATCATTATTATTTTTATGGTTATTTGACTATCGATGGAGCATCAGGGCAAACTAATGAAACCCGGGTTCCAGGTATCTCTAGCTATAGCTATTCTTGTATTCTTTACTTGGCTACAGTTTCTGTTTAACGGTTTAGGGTTCACTAGATCATCTGTTTTAGACAATGATTGGTAATTTAATTTATCATTCTTTCATGAATTCTGATCAGGTCGAAGCCAAAAATGAGGATCGGATAAGCCAGCTCCCCGAACGCATCCTATCAATCATTCTATCAAAACTACCCATGAAAGATTTGGTTAAGACCAGTGCTCTATCCAACAGATGGAAGCACCTCTGGGCGCTGAGGACCAACCTCAATTTCGATGTTGACGGCATCTTTGGAACCAATCACGAAAGGCCCGATTGCAGTTCAAAACATAGCGAACGTTATAAGGAATTTAAGCTTGAATTCTCTAGGTGTGTCGATGGATTCTTGCAGAATTTCCAAGGCACGAAAATAATTTCTTTCAAGCTGCATTTCTTGAAACATCTTGGAGACACTTCTAACATTAATCGATGGATTAGTTCTGTGATTGGATTGGGAATTGAAGAGCTTGAACTTATCTTATCAGGCATGACATTATTTTCCTGTTGTCATCATGGTCTTTTAGGTGATGAATATTATACATTTCCCTATTGGCTTCTTCCCCATCCTAGTTATTCAAGATTAAAGCACTTGCATCTACAAACTTGTGTTTTAAAACCTCCTGCTGATTTTATGGGATTCAACAAACTAATAACCTTACAATTGCACGACGTATTTTTGGGAGAACAATTTCTTGCATCCCTCTTCTCCAACTGTTTGCTTCTTCAAGGTCTAATGTTGATACGCTGTAAACATATGTCCCTTTTAAAAGTTTTCAGTACTTCACTCCAAAATCTAGTGTTGCTTGGTTGCTCCAACCCATCACCAATTAAGGTAATAGCCGTAAACCTCACGGATTTTGAGTATAGTGGAGACATCATGAAGATCACTGTATTTGTTGCTCCTTGTCTGGTAAAGATCTACTTCAATCTCAATTCTATTCACGTGATAGACATGCCAAATGCATTATCCCACTGTGCGACATTTCCAACTTTACAGACTCTAATCCTGCATATGGACCCTTGGAAGGTACGTAAAGATTCAGAAATCACGAAGTGTAACTAACCTCCGATGATGACAATGAAAATCTGTTTTCTAATCTGCTGTTGTTTTCATTCAGGAAAAAAGATTACCACAGAGCATGGACTCGCTCAGAAATCTGAAGCAACTAGAGCTATTTTTTATCAAAGCAAGTGAGGAAGAGGATCTATTGTGGGTATTGACATATCTAAATGCTTGTCCACTTCTGGAGAAACTTGATTTCACGGTCAGTTGCTATATACTCTGTCAAATCTAAAACATTGTGGAGAAACACTTTATTTGAACTGTTTTTTATCAGCTTACATTCGATATTTTGTTTTGCCAAAACAGTTGGAATACAATTTTGTCTGATATTGTAATCTTATTGTGAGTTGTCTCTGTTGTCTATAGCTGGCCGGTGAAGAATTCCACAAAAATCAAAGAGAGATGCGAAATCTCTGTGGATGCACATATAGCAGACTCAAGAAGGTTCAGATGAATGGATTTAATGGTAACTGGTTCGAAATGGAGTTGATAACGCATATACTGAAAAGTGCAATATCCCTTGATCAAGTTGTTGTCAGTCCCTTGGCTGCTGTTTATCTTGGAGGTGGTGAATGGAGTCATTTTACTCCAGATGAGTCCTGGCATGGATCTCGACAGGATGTTGTTAGAAAATCACTTCAAAAAAATACTCCTGCTGGTGTTCATCTTGTAGTCTTATGATGTCATTTGTATTTGTTTTTAATAACAGTGTCAATTAACTTGGAACGCAGTGATTTTATTTTCATTTTTTTGTTGTCATTTGCTCGTATAAATTAAGGCAAGCTTATTTACACGTTGGGAGTCGAGTCCTCTCAGCTTTGCGGCCATGTGTAGTGTGATCATAACACTCCATTGATCCTTTAACCTTGGAAACATGTTCAGCCAATATATCTGTATTAAATTAGTTGCATTAGCTACCATGCCAGTTCGATATCCATTAATCTTCATACTAAAATTAGAATTAGAATAAAAAAAAATAAGAAAAAGGAATGAGAAAAACAAAGGACTGTTTAGAGGCTATAAAAAAAATAAGTAATGATAAAAAATAGGTAAAATTTTATAAAAAATAAGATTAAAATAACTTATAAAGAAAAAATTTTGGAACCATGAGATTGAATTAAAATAAATAAATAAAAAAGACTTGAGTCAACCAAAGTCAGCATGATACGATCTCAATCTCATAAATTATGTTATAAATTTGACAAATTAACTCAAGTTTTATTTAAGTTATTTTTTATGTTATCTTTTATAAATTTTTTTTTTTAGAATTTCATTCTTTAATATTAAATTAATTAAAAAATAAATTTAAAAATTATATAACTAATTCGAATAAGATGATCTTTTCATATAGATACATTAGTGATTATTGTGTTGATGGAGAATAAATCAATCATTTGTATTTATGAAATATAATAAAACTTTTTTTTAAAATAATGCCTAAAGGTGTTTCTTTATTATTATTTTTAAAAAATAAAATAATTTAAATATCTTTAAAAATATATTTTTATTTAACTTACGTTCAACATAATTTTTGTATTTTTACATGGGAGTTTTTGTTATTATCAGGTTGATTTAAAAAAAATATAATTTAATAAATATAAATATTATTAACAAAAAGATAATGACCTATGCAATATATAAGTTAAATTTAGTTTTTTTAAGATAAAATATAAATTAATACATTTAATTTACAAGCAATAATGGAAGTGATAGCTTTTGATTTACAAATAATTAATTACGTAAGTTAGTGATTGGAAAAAAATAAGAAGTTTTTTATATTAATATATTTATCTATTAAGTCTAATGTTTAAGTTTGTAAGAAGAGAAAATATTAGATAAATCTAAATCACCAGGACTAATTAATAATTTTTTTTTATAAATTATTAAGTTTCTCCTAGGAAAATACGAATTACAGAATTCATTTTAATAAATAAAATCACATTATAACCAAACAAGTTTTATTTATGTCTTCTTATAAATTTATATTTATTATATTGATTTTCAATAAATGATTATATATATATATATATATATATATATAATCATTTATTGAAAATCAATATAATAAATATAAATTTATAAGAATACATAAATAAAACTTGTTTGTTATAATGTGATTTTATTTTATTAAAATGAATTCTGTAATTCGTATTTTCCTATGAGAAACTTAATAATTTATTAAAAAAAATATTAATTAGTCCTGGTGATTTAGATTTATCTAATATTTTCTCTTCTTACAAACTTAAACAGTAGACTTAATAGATAAATATATTAATATAAAAAACTTCTTATTTTTTTCCAATCACTAACTTACGTAATTAATTATTTGTAAATCAAAAGCTATCACTTCCATTATTGCTTGTAAATTAAATGTATTAATTTATATTTTGTTAACAAAATTGGTAAAAACACACCCTTGCAACGACACGTCGTTTAAAAAATCACGCCTGCAAGTCACCTCCATGTTTTAATAGTCATATCTCCACTATTTTAGACCCTCTGAGGTCTGCACTGTTTTGATCTACAAACCCTAACACACACAAACCAAAATCATGGCTTGGAAGCGCCTTCTAACTCTAGCTCACCGGCCCCACAGACCTTTATCAGCAACCACGACCAGATCCTTTTCCAATGCCGCCTCCGTCGCCACCGTCAGTCCCACCACTCCACCCACCCCACCACCGCCAACCGCCATGATCTACGACCGATTAGCTGAATCAGTCAAATCAAAGCTCAAACTCCTCGAAAACCCGGACCCAAGATTCCTCAAATACGGGTCACCCCACCCAACTCTCAAAACCCACACACATATCCTCTCCTCACCTGAAACCCGCATCACTACGCTCCCTAATGGTCTCCGTGTCGCTACTGAGTCGAATCTGGCTGCTAAAACTGCGACTGTTGGTGTTTGGATTGATGCCGGGTCGAGATTTGAGTCCGATGAGACAAATGGGACTGCTCATTTCTTGGAACATATGATATTTAAGGGAACGGAGAAGAGGGGTGTGAGGGAATTGGAAGAGGAGATAGAGAATATGGGAGGGCATTTGAATGCGTATACAAGTAGAGAACAGACTACTTATTATGCTAAAGTTATGGACAAAGATGTTAATAAGGCCTTGGATATTTTGGCTGATATTTTGCAGAACTCTACTTTCGATGAGGGGAGGATATCTAGGGAGAGGGACGTTATTACTTTGGAAATGAAGGAGGTAAATATGGGTTTTTTCTGTTGTTTGAACTTGGATTGTTAATGGATTTTTGTTGTTTTGCCTGTTGTGTCTAGAGAGTCTAGTGTTTTGTGTTCAGTGGTTGTAAAATTCTGTCTTTTGGGGTGGGTTTTGATTTGTTTGTGTAAAGTTTTGTGCCTTTGGTTTTAACTGTTATGAAAGTTGGTGTCTTTGTAGCTTTGGGTCAATGGGACTTGACACGGTTCTTTCTATTTCTGGGTTGAGCATGTGGGAATTAGAATTGCATAGTTATCTATGCTTCCTGGATTTTAATTTAGAAATGCTAATGGTTGTTGATTTACTTACAAGTAAATGAGGGATGTCATTGTTATTTGCAAGTGTGGGTCATTTAGTTAACTTTTTTGGTGTTTGTTTTATGAAGTTTGTTGAATAGAAGATGTGGCGTTTGTTTGACGGGTAGTTTTAGATGTCAGGTCCTAGCATCAAAGTTTCAAACTTGTTTCAATGAATCCTGGTTACCGAGAAACGGTCATCTGTTTGTTAGTGGATGGTTTTAAATGTTATGTTCTAGTGATAAATTTTTAAACTTGCTTAACTGGATCTTTGTTGTAAGCATACTGAGTTGTTTGCTATGCTGTGTACCGAACAAAATGCTCGATTGCTTTTCAAAGTTATGAAAGGGGATAATTTTCATGTGAAAAATGTGTTGTTGTATTGTACTTCCAGTAACATTTTACTGCGGGCGTTCAGTTTTCTTAGTTCAACATTTTCTATGGATATAGCCTTATTTGATTTTGCTTCCTGCTTCTAACAGTTATAAATGATGTATCTGGAAAATTGTAGGTTGAGGGGCAAACCGAGGAAGTAATTTTTGACCATTTGCATGCAACTGCTTTTCAATACACTCCTTTAGGTAGAACTATTCTGGGACCTGCTAAAAACATCGAGACAATATCCAGGGATGATCTTCAGAACTATATACAAACACACTACACAGCTCCTAGAATGGTAATGCTTTATGTGATTTTACTTTTGTACAAGATGGAGTTGTGGGATTGCCGAACGCTTATTTCCATTTTCCTTTCTGCTTGCTATTAAGATTGAAGGTCTGCTGTTGAAATTCTTATCATGGGTATTTGTGTGACTTTCATTCCAGGTGATTGTTGCATCAGGGGCTGTGAAACATGAGGAGTTTGTCGGGGAAGTAAAGAAGTTGTTTACGAAGTTATCATCTGATCCAACTACTGCTGCACAGTTAGTTGCCAAAGACCCTGCATATTTCACTGGTTCTGAGGTGGGAAGATATAGCTCGAAATCCATGCCTTCCGTCTATGCCTTTTTCTTTCTCTAAACTACTATTTCCACTTATTGTTGTGAAAAATCAGGTCAGGATAACTGACGATGATGTTCCTCTGGCACAATTCGCCGTCGCTTTTCAAGGAGCATCTTGGACAGATCCAGATTCCATTGCTTTGATGGTCATGCAGGCTATGTTGGGTTCTTGGAACAAGAGTGCAGGAGGTGGAAAGCACATGGGGTAACCTCTCCTCTCTCTAATTTACCACATTCATCGCTATTCATCTTTAAAAAATTATTTGTATTCAGGGACGCTTCATTTAGCAGTTTAGGAATTTTATTATTACATTTCCTGAGAGCAAATTTGTACAGTGGTCTGTATTTACAGAAATCATGTCAACTCATGAGCTACAAATGAAATCCCCTTGTTGGTGGAGTTATAAGCAATTAAGCTTAAAAAAATAAGAATTTTCAAACTTTGCATATAATAGGGTGGGTGATTAACCCGTAATGTTTCAATGATCATTCTTTTCTCTGTTTTTCCACATCCTGACATAACTGGCTGACTATTTAAGACACTTTTGTCTTGTTAGCGAGGGCATTGATTAAATCTCAATCATTGGACAGTTCTGAACTAGCACAAAGGGTTGGCATTGATGAAATAGCAGAAAGTATGATGGCTTTCAACACAAACTACAAGGACACTGGTCTTTTTGGTGTTTATGCTGTTTCAAAGGTATGGAGTTTTGTCTTGTTTTCTTATTATTTAGAAAAATATAGTTTTAGCATGGTCGAGCAAGGAATGGAAATGGTGCAAATAACTTTGGAATGAATCTTAATATGTTAATAATATTTTCACATAGCCTGCAATAGGAACTTGACTAACAATCCCTCTCATCATCCTGAGTAATTTGGTTCATCAACCAATGTGTAACTCTCAATAAATCATGCTTCTGAGAACGTTTATGAAGTCAGTTTCCAATCTTGCCCTGCTTTGACTGGTACATAATTGGAAATTGTATGCCATCCTAGGTAATGCTACATTTTGTGTTTGTGGCCCACCATCATTTCTTCCCATCATCTCTCTTTTGCTGTCTCATTTAAGTTACAATCATTAAAGATTTGTTACTTGTTGATTCATCTTTGAAAGCATAAGATGTTCAAGTGTAGCAAGTCTCTGCTATGACATATATAACATGATAATTAAGTCATTTTGCCTTTTGATTGGATTCTCAGTTTAAGATTTTTTTATTCTTGTTTTATCAATGAAAAAAATTGTCTGATGCTTTGTTTTCAGCCGGATTGCTTGGATGATTTAGCCTGGGCAATCATGCATGAGACAACTAAGTTATGCTATCGAGTTTCAGAAGCTGATGTCACACGTGCTTGTAATCAGGTGGTTACTAATGTTCACACTTTCCTTTAAAAGTGGATTTTTCATGTTTTTTGCTGGCATCTGGACTATATTTTTTTAAGATTTCCAGGTCATTAACTCATAACGTGTTACATATACGTTTTCATTTGCAAAAACTCTTTACTATTTTAATCCAGTCATCATTTTTTTCCCCTTGTTGAATCTTTATTATCTTGAATAACATTTAGCTATTGCTGTCTGCAATAGAGAATTTTGTAAGATGCTCATTCCAGTCTTGTTCATGGTTTCTTTCTATCGAACTAAAGTTTGATGTTTGGATTGTTTGTAAAGAAATAACATGGGTGAAGAAGGCAAGTAACCTGATGTCACTTTGGTTGCTCAGCAATAGCTATACTAATAACTGTGTCATTCTCCTGTTGGAATGGTATCTTGTAACCTAATTCTGATTAATTAATTTTTATTTATCTTGTGATGGTTTTTTGGATGGAAGGATACAATGAGACATTGTATTCAAGGTTTTTTGTTAGTCAATCTTGTTGACCTTTCCACAGTAGGATTTCTTGAGCTTAAATAGTTGTTTCAAGTTAATGTGAGCCTCCACTATTAAATTGACAAGCGCTTGATTGACATTAATTGCTTGAACTTTAGACAACTCCATTCTTGTGATGTCGGAATTTCTTATCTACAATTTTTGGTCTAATATACTGTATTTAGACATGAGTAGCAATTAATTAAATTTTAACTCCCATATGAAGCTAAGAAGCTAATCAATTGTACAATCTTCTTTGTATGTTCAAAAAAGGAAAAAGGGGTTATATGATTTAAAACTATATCATTTGTATGCTGTGTGTTTTTATCCTCATAATCTTCTCTTGATGTGCTAGGTGATGTGTAGTTTTACAGATCTTGGAACATCCCATGTTCTCCATAATCTAGTCATTTTTCTTACCTGGCTGCTTACTCATGTTTGACTGCAGTTAAAATCTTCCTTGCTACTTCACATTGATGGAACTAGTCCTGTAGCGGAAGATATTGGGCGCCAGGTATGACATAACCTCATAAAATAATCTGGCTAATAATGCTAGTACAGGTTGTACAATTCTTCCTGGGTATACTATGAGATTTGTTGCTTGAAGATAATTAACGCCTTACTAATGTTTCAAATGGTTTCCCAAATTACACAACCCAATTCATAATTGATGTAGTTTCAAGCACAATTGTCTGTTGAGACAATCTAAACAGTATGTGTTGTGCTGTCCAAGTTGATGATTAAGTCTGATCCTTCATTGGCTGATATTTTAGTTGGTGCAAAGGCTTTCAAATTATTTTAATAAGTGTTACCAAGAAATTCAATGAAAACAAAATAGTACTCTCATTCAATTGTTTTCCATGAAAATCTCTCATTCAATTGTTTTCCATGAAAATATTCTGTTACTTTAATACTTGAGTAGGCTGATATTTTTGTGTTTTGTATCCATTTATTGTTTATACGCACTATTTTATTGTTAGAATTTTCTTTCCTTTTTTTCCTTATTAAATATTTCCTTTCAAACTAAAGGTACTATATCACTAGCAGCATGTTTTTCTATGTAAAAAAAAGGAAATAAGTTGACATGATTAATATGTGTGTTATTCACTAGATCCAAGTCATGTGAGTCCTTGATAATTTATGTTATACAAAATAGTGTTTAGTAATTTGCCGCAGCTTCCATTGCCTGGTTTTAGGTGTTTATTCTTTTATGATTAACAGTTGTAGGATCATAGACATTGACTAGTGAGAGTAATTTGAAGTGAAATCAGAGTTGTAATCTACTTTAGTTACTCATTTTTTCCTTACATTTGGCTGCATATGGTTGCAGCTACTTACTTATGGTCGAAGAATCCCATATGCTGAACTGTTTGCTAGGATTGATTCTGTCAATTCAAGCACTATCAAACGTGTTGCAAACCGATTTATTCACGACCAGGTACAAACTATAGAATACCCCAAGTCTTATTGTTATCTTAGATGCTGCCTTAACATCAACTAGTTTCTAATTGTAAGAATTATGTTGAAGCTAAGAAGCTCTGTTAGTTGCAGCAGTTGAATTTCCATCTCAAGTTTTATGTCTATTTATCTATTTCTTTCTTCTATAAGAACTTTTAAAACGTGTCAATTTGTTAAAGTGGGAAAGTGTTTTTCAAATAGCAAGTAAACAAGTGCACAAAGAGCTAAATCCTAATGATAAATGTTTTTGCCCGTTAAGGAACCTAGCACATAAAAAATAAACCCTACTGATTTTTATCGTTTGAAAAAAATCACGTGCAAATGGGACAGGCTTGGGAGTTTTGGATAAGATGTGTTAATGTTATGTTTTTGCAGGATATTGCAATTGCGGCCATGGGTCCCATCCAAGGGTTGCCTGACTACAACTGGTTCAGGCGCAGGACCTACTTGAATCGTTACTAGATTGTGCCAGGCGTTTGTTTATTACGGCATCCTTGTGTATTGTGCAGTTGCCAAACATTTTACTGCTTCTGCACGCAACGATATCTTCTGAGAGCCCTCACGGCTGCCTAAGCCCCATTTTTTTTAGGTTTTTGCTTCTGTAATGATATCATTGTTAACAGTAATAAGCGAATGCAGTCTCCAATATATGCCTAGGCTGCTGAAAAGGATTTCAAATTCCGTGCATTTAAAGCTGATGTATGAGCTTGCATCTTCCCCTTCTTGAATAGGATAAAAATACATGTCTCTATTTTCCAACTGCCACCTGCAAGCTAGCTACCTCGCTTAAGGGTTGCTCGCATGCAGTTGGAACCACTTGAACCACAATCAATAAATGCTGTCGAGATATTTGCAAACTAGGGCAAACTAGGGCTTGGCCTAGCGGTGGAAGGGGCTTGTCTCCTTCCACTGCACCTGGGTTCAAGTCCTAGCGTGCACGCCTGTCACCCTCGCGGTACCTTACATGCCTACTGGGTTTGCAGGATATTCAGTGGGCCGTGGGGATTAGTCGTGGTGCGCGCAAGCTGGCCCGGACACCCCACGTAAATCAAAAAAAAAAAAAAAAAAAAAAAAAAAAATAAATGCTGTCGAGATCTTGGTCCCCCATTCCAAGGAACTAAGAGTCTCCTTCCTCTTATGTTGGATCTGTACATCTTACCTTTTTATTTCAAGCATTTTGCTATGGTTTTCTCCCGTTCACAGTTATCTAGAAAGGACGTTCATTCCAAGGGCTACTGTGCGTATATACGTACATAACTTGCGTTTCAGTAGCCAGGGGTTTTTCATGCACACCAAAATTAGAAGTTTCTTCTAAAACAGATTCGGACAACCCCAATTTCTCGTTGAATTTAGACCTTAGAGGAGGATTGGTCATGCTTTATTGCGAGCTGGATTAGAAATTAATGTTTAGATATGTATGTGTCTGAGAGCGTTGTCAAGAATGTAAATTGAAAAATTAGGCATTCGTTTAATAAAACCAATTAATAATCATGTGCGTTTAATAAAGGTTGAGGAAAAAAAAATCATAAATGATAACCAAAGTCAAAAATTAAGTTAATGAATAGATACAAATAAAAAGGTATGATTTCACATCAATCATGCTAGTTTTTTTTTTTCCATTATATGAATGTTTTTATTGAAAAAACTTAAAATTCAATCAAAATAAAATTACAAAATTATATTAGCTTGGTACGATCTATTCAACCTAACAAGTCCATACGCAACATTCATTTCATCCACAACTTAATTTGACTAAAACTAAAACTTCAAGTTATTGTCTTTTTTTTTGTAAAAAAATAAAAAAGAATTTGGAGGTAATGACACTTTTGATCAACCTATTTTAACTGCTACATTGTCATGGACTTGGTTAGGTTTAAAAAAATATAAAGTTTTAGAGCAAAATAAAAATTGCAAAAACTAAAGGGATAAAAATAAAAAATTCAAAAATTATAAAGGTAAAAAATTTGGAAAATGTGCTTCTTAAACAGTAAAAAAAACCTTGATTTTAGATAACATCTCTAAATTTTTATTTTTTTCAGGCAACCAAACTGATAATTGTTTTCAAATTAAAACCAGTAAAAAGCTACTAAAAAAATCAAATGTGAAAAGATAAAATTAAAAATATAGAGCTTGATAACAAAAAAAAAAAAAAAAAAACCATCAAGAGAGTACATTATGCAAGTGAATAATGTTTGTGATATATTTTCAAAAAAACAAATTGTAATGAAATTTTATTTAAATTTGCAATTGTTATTGTAAAAATGAATCCAAATGATAATTTGAAACATAGAAGTTAATTTGAAAATTCACTTATCGTCACCTTTTAAAAAAAATATTGGTTAATAACATAGATAGAAAAATTTTTGATAAAATAATATACTTTTTATATGTAAGGATTGGAAAACACGAGAACTAAAAATATAATGATTTTCAATGAAGATATGTAACCAAATTCTATAATCAAACCCTAAATAATAACCTAAACCCAAACCATCACCCTACCTAACCCTAAACTACAAAATCAAACCTTAAATTTTAAACACTAACACTAACCCCATTCCAAACCGCAAACCCTAATCTTAATCATAACTCAAAACTTAACCTAATTCCACTCCAAATCTCAAACACAAAATTTAAATTTTAAAATTCTCAAATATCTTGTGAATATACATTTAAGGTCGACTATGAATTGCTTAGAAATTAAAGAATCTTATAATCAAAATTCAAAGTAAAATTGCCATTGTAACCTATATTAAATATTATATAAAAAACTAAGTTTTTATAACTATAATTTTGTGCCCATTTTCAACTAGTATTTCTTTTATTTTCCTTGGTTTACAAGTATATTCGTGTAAATTATTCTATTGTAACCTGCTTCACAGTAATTAAAGTTGATAATAACACAACATAACAATGTTGGTTTTGTTCAGCTTTATATGCTTGATTAGAAATTCTAAACAGTATATATGAAAATTTAAAAGATATCAAAATTCATAATTTCTCAAATAAAAAAATCTAAAACAATATTAATATTCCAACTACATCCAACCCATTTGTCTTTTGTACATGTGTCCACATGTGAAATTTAACAAGATAGGGTATTGCTTAGGGTTTTGGTATATGTCACGGTTCATGATTATAGAACAATTAAGATATTGTGTTTTTCAAACTCAACATTCTTAAATGTTGCATTTTCAATTTATAATATCTTTAAATGTTGGATTTGAGCACCACAACAAATACAAATTGTGTTATTTTATCTGTGTTATTTTACCAATAATTTTTTTTATAAACAATGCTGATTTAAAAAAAAATAATGTTCTCATTTTTAATTGAAAAACCAAAATCATAGATAGCAGAGACCCCACAAACAAAATCTACATCACAAAGGACACGTTCTTGACTCTTCATTCCAGTTGTGTCGTGTGCACACTACAGTTGTTGGAGGGAAACAGATGCTCTGAACCTCCTAGACGTTGATGTGTACGTAGGGAACGGGTGAGGCTTCGGCCTTCAAGACTTCAAGTGCCGTTGGGTTAGTTAAAACCTAAAACCGTGTACGTTTCCCCCCTCATCTTGGAAGTATCGAAACACATATATTGCGTTCAGGCTTTTCTCTATTTTGGTTTCTCAGATTTCCCACAACACTCACGCACACTTCCTTCGATCCCATCGCCACATTTCTCTACAAAACTCCACCAACCCACCACACTTCTTCAATCTTTCTGTCTATAGAATTCGAAACTCAATAACTTAGGACATCATTCTTTCTTGGGTTTTGCTCTGAGAAGAGAGAGCATGGCTTCTATCTCTGTTCCATGCCCCAAGACTGTCTTGGTTGCTGCTGGTGCGGGATCCAACGCTCAAAATCCACCACCAAAGCATAGGATCTCTTTTCCTCGACCACCCAATTCCAATCAGAACCCGTCTCTCTCTTTCGGATCCACAGTGTCTGGTTTTCAGGTCAGTTCATCTTGTAGTAATTTGATGGTTCTCTCTATATCTTCATCATTTGGTTGCCCATTATAAAGTTTTTTAGTAAGACATGAATTATTCGCTATCTCATTTCTTTTCTTTATCTGTGCGTGTGTGTTAAGCTTGAATCTTTGATGTTTTAAATTGATGCTGTGAAAATTACATGTGGCCGTAACGACTTGTTTTGGGGTTAACATATTTTTAAGGAAGGTTGTCTATTTTTTTATATTTTTTCCTTGCCTTCTATATGGTTTGATAGTTGGTTGTGATCATAGTGAAAGAGAACAGTGTTTCAGATTTTGAAATTAAAATTTCAATTATGGATTCATCTTTTGTGTTTTTGATACGAGTAATACCTTATGATGAAAGCACGTAGCTGGTAAAGCTTGAATCTTTGCACTTTTTATCTCGGTTACATGGGAAATTAATGCAACTAAAGAAGGGGGCACGGAACCATCTATAATTTTGATAATGGCTTGTTTATTATTGAAGTTAATTAGTCATGATAGTGAATGACTGCTATCTGATTCGATCACCATGGATTGAGCTTCTCTTTTGATGTTTTAACATTAATGTTGTCAATTCTTAACTTGTCATGATTTTTTACTCATGATTGGATTCTCATTGATGTGATATGACTATTATATTATATGAAGACTAAAGTGCATCTGTTGGAGTTGTGGGAGACCAATGTCTTCTCAAAAATGTTCTTGTTGTTGTTGAAAGTTTAAGGATTTTTGGTTATCATGTGCAGTGGCCTAATAGGAAACAGCAAGCTGTTGTGAAGGTGCAGGCACAGCTGAATGAGGTAAGTTGTACACGCGAAGTTAAAATTGTATGTTTATAGGAGGTAGCATCATTAGCTATTTACAAAACCCACTTCTTATTCCAAGGCTATTGCCAAGAAATCTTCAAATTCAGCGCTGGTGGTGGACACTGAACCCAAAGTTGCATCGTCAGAGGGAGAGGACGAACCCACAGAAAGCAAAATTCCTGACGTTTCATCTATCTCAGCATTTATGACACAAGTATCAGAACTTGTCAAGTGAGTCAAAGAATTTTGTAATATCTATGCATATGTCACTTTTGTTATGTGCTTGGCCACACATCTATCTCATTGTTTGAATTAATATTATCTTCATGAGCAGACTAGTAGATTCAAGAGATATCACCGAGCTGCAACTGAAGCAATCAGATTGCGAGCTTGTAATAAGGAAAAAGGAGGCTTTGCAGCAATCAGCACCAGCAGCTGCTAGCCTTGCAATGCAGCCTCCTTACCCACATGCAACGTTTCCGGCTCCACTACCAGCAGCTGCTCCAGCCCCAGCTGCTGCTATTCCCTCTCCAGCCCCTGCTCCTGCCCTGCCTTCTCCTGCAAAGGCAAGCTCGTCATCTCATCCACCACTGAAATGCCCCATGGCTGGAACCTTTTATCGGAGTTCAGCTCCAGGTGAACCCCCATTTGTGAAGGTATGTGTTTGTCGTAAGTGATAATGCCATTTAAGAGCTGGAACTCCCAAGAGACAAAACTTGCAAGATTTCCCAAGTGCACATGTGGCTCTTTCCCCATCTCCATGTATTTTCATTTTACAGGCGGGGGATAAAGTGCAGAAAGGTCAAGTCATTTGCATCATCGAGGCCATGAAGCTAATGAATGAAATCGAAGTAACTCCTCTTCTTATTCCACGTCTCTTGAGCTTATTAATTTTAGTACTCTCTCATTTACAGATCTTTTGTTTGAAGAATTGAGTGATTCTTTGGATGCCTGAAATCTATCATTTAATTTCGCTTCTTATTTTGTTTTGCGGTTTTAGGCTGATCAATCTGGAACCATAACCGAGATCCTGGCAGAGGATGGGAAACCAGTTAGTGTGGACACGGTAATCTCTCTCCCCCCATCTTTATCTTCCTACTTAGTGGAGACTCTTACATCATTCCAAACCCTTTGTTTCTTCAATGCAGCCTCTTTTTGTCATTGTACCATGAATGACTTGCGAGGAGCTTCCTTCAAACTTTGTAGCCGCTACTGTTTTCAGAGAAGCAACTCTCAACTTTCAATATCCAGTCTCTTCTTTTTTCCTTATTTCTCTGTAATTTTATAGAATAATGGTCTCATCTTGGTTCGGGAAAGTCGAGTTTGTACTCTAGTTTTGTATTTGGGGTCTGCAAAAAGCCTTTGGCGATACGATATGTAAGGGGTAGAGCAATGTTCGAAAAATAGAATTCAGAAGCATCAACTGGGAACCTGTAATTTTTATTCTCAGGGTTGAACTTGTAAGAAGCTGTTGCTGCCTCGGCCTCAGCTGTGCGCTGTGCATTCTTAATTCAAGAATTGGTTGAACCATTTCCACCTAAACGTGGAATGCATTGAAAGAAGAAATTAAAAAAAAAAAAAAAAGGGCAAAAAAAAAAAAAAAAAAAAAAAAAAAAAAAAAAAAGGGCAATCCTCTTGTTACGTGTTTATCTTCCCATCCCTAACAAGTGGAAAACATCAAGAACGCTCAACTCCTCTGACCTAACAATTTTAACACAGAGGAGGGAGGGTAAAGAGAGTAACGAGATTTTGTGCGGACGCGGGTTCTTTAAGAGCTAAAACGACGTGGTAGCACTAATCCAGCACAAGAAGGGAAACATCATGTGAAATCATATATATAAAAGAAAGTCCTTGGGGCGAGCTAGGAGGCAATAAAATGATTTCTTTACATGAAAAGCCTGAAAAATGGATGTACACTTTCTATCTTGCTGATGTTTTGCTCTCGATTTCTCACACTTGGAAAGAGCTTCTTCAAAGAGTTAAAACAGCCCACGATTTCTGGGAAACCAATGCAGGATTCTTGAATTTCACAGAAAGCAACGAATGAAGTTGTGGCCAATTGGCAAGCAAATTACAAAATGGAGATAGCTAGAGGAGAAGTGCCTCACTGCCAGAGTCCTCGCATGAAGACCCTTCATGTTTGCTTTCTTCTGTTTCCAGAATTCTATTCTTTTGCTGTCATTCTATCCTATTGCTATTTCCTTTGTCCTACATAATGTACATTCGTTAGCCTACCCTGTTTCATATTCACAAAACTATTGCCGGTGCCTACTTCTACTGCTGTTGCCTTTCCTTCCGCTGCCCAGCCTCCGACCCCCGGACGCCCAGTCTTCATCCTCATCGTCATCCTCGTCGTCTCCCATCACACGTCCAGATTTCACCTTTCTTGGGGCAGGTCGTTTCCTCTTGATATTCGCTGTGTACGTGGAGTAATCAACAGTATCTTCCTTTAAGGCTCCCTTGAATTCCTGTGCAATAACAAACCATTTAGACACAGAAGTTCAGAAGTTGAACCAAACTCTATCCCCATTCCAGTTCTATGAGACCTTCTCATTGACAGCCAAGCTACCTGATATCTCTGAACCAAATCTTGATAGGTAGACGGCAAACTGGTGCCTGTTTGACTCATGTCAAAAGGAATGTTCTGCCTTGAGAAAGCCTCTCCTGGCTTTGGGGGTTCAGTGGGAGAAAAAGCCTGGCAGATATGCCATGTAAAATTAGTTGCGGACAATTTAGGCACATGCACGGTACTGTAAAGCAAAGTAATGAGAGAAACCAAATCTAAACAGTTTTCACCTGGCACCGAGCATCATTAAGGCCATACACAATTTTCAGGTGTCTCTTGAGCTTCAAAAGAAGCTCCAAAGCAGTTGCTGCGAGGCAGTCAACCTGTGTAACAACCCACAGAAAGAGGAATGAGAAGCAGTACTGGGTTTGTGAAGTAAAGGATTCTCACGTGCGTGCATAAAGAATTCTCATCTTGCATTTGTTCAAAAGCAAATGCATTCAGAGACATGAACAGCATGGCATTAATAAATTGGCATGTGCTATTCCACAATCCTGTAGAACACTGGACACTTGGAGAGGACAAAAACCCAAAAAGGAAAGGCAGTATGACAAGGTCCTCTATTGATCTATTCTCCCGAAGAATAAGATCCTCTATTCTTCCATCTCAAGACAAGGTATTATTCGACTTCCAGGGGAAAAAAGAAAAAACAAACTTCTGCATGACTTCAAGTGCTTTCAGAAGTACCTGGATTTTCTCCACATCATCTTTGGAGATGCCTACGGACTCACCAGAGCTCACACGCTCCATCTTTGGATATCTTGAGACACTAGAGTTTAGAACTGCATGATCAGCAGGCTGTTCTTGAACTGTTCCGTTCAGATCAAATGATCTCAAAGGACTGTGATCAGGCTGACCATCTGGCTTTGGTTGAATTGTACCATTCATGTCCATGTGATGGGAAACAGGCTCCGCAAGTTCCCTTTGAATGAACCCATTTTCATTAACCATTCGAGCATTTCTTTGGGAAAAATGTAAGATTAGTCCCTTCATATTTGCTTCAAGTGCCCCTGCTCTTACTTGAATAACTCGATTTATAACATAAATCAAATACAGAGGTTCATCAGGTAAAGTAAATGGCAGCAAAGCAAGCATTTCCGTGCAGTACCTGTTAAAAAGAAGACAATTTCTAAAATATCATATCAAATTCAAAAGAAATCTACGATCAGCATTAGAGACAACTCACACTAAAAAAGGAATCACTGAATCACTCCGGCTTGGATTGTCAAATTTTCGCACAATTGAGGACATAAATTTGTTCCGTGAAACTCGGTTTCCACGAATAAGCTTGTATATCCGAGAAACCCCAAGCCTTGCTTGAGATAGGGAACCACCTTCAGGTTTTCCCTTGAGATTTCCAGCAGTCTTAGATTGGAGTTTTTGGTTTGGAATTTCAGGAGAAATATTAACAACAGATTTCATGAATATAAATGACAGCTGAAGGCCATCACCCAATCGGCTTTCAAAAAAAGCAGGATACCTGAAATTATTTTTGGTAAGTTGCATAACCAGAAAAAGGGAAAGAAAAAACAAATTTGTTTCAAGAAACATACTTCTCATTCATATTCATCAGCAAATGGTGGGCTAACTTTGAGTTTAACTCTTGAGGATCCGTTTCCAATGCTATTAGATATGGAACACAGGTTATAGGATGGACCAGACCCTGGCGTAGTACTACTTCCACAATCTGCATAGATAGCAAATCAAGAGATATAAAACTCAAGCATGCAGCATTAACTCTAAATTTCACTCACAATTGCCTGAGTGGTTAGACCAAGAAATTTTCCATCTAGTGTTACGAATCAGGGTCAACACTTAAAACTTTTCTGGCAAAATATATTTGATGTTGGACTCGTAAATAGTGAACAATTATTTATGCTTATGCAAATTAGTTTCCAAATTTTCTTAGAAAATGAACTTTCTCAAGTCCGTTTTACTTTTTACAAATGTGGCAGGGATATGCATTCTTAACAAAAGCTTTTACACATAAAGTGACAAGAATACCCAGTCTAGGTTCTGAGCTTTTACACATAAAGTGACAAGAATACCCAGTCTAGGTTCTAAGCTTTTACACATAAAGTGACAAGAATACCCAGTCTAGGTTCTCACCTTAAGAGCAGTCTGGCGAACTTGTTCATTGAAGTCCAAGCACCTTCCCAAAATATGATCCCAATACAGCTGGACTATACCACCACAGATGTTAGTATCACCTGCACCAGCAGCAACAGGTACACTGTTGCTCCCTTCTACAGGATGATGAGCTACACTATTAGTCTTATCTGTGTCCATTTGGCTTTCAGCATCCAGAAGATATTCATGCACATTTTGCAAAGCTTGCATCTGGTGGAATGAATGATTCAGTACACAATGAAAAAAATGGAAAGATAAAAAAAGAGGCTACCACTTTAGTACCTTAAGACGAACATGAGAACCAGAAGATAAAGTTGCCTCCAATATTTTCCCAATGTCCTTTTCCAGCATAAACTCAGGCCTAGCAATAAGAACAAATCCTAATGCCTGAAACAATTACAAATTTAGATCATTAAACATTAATATCAAAGCGGGCCTCAGATAAATTGAGGAGGAAAGCATACACACCTGCAAAGACCTGACTTTTATACTGAAATCCTCCATAAGGAGATGCTTTTTAAACAAACTGAGACTGCTCGCAACATCAATATTTTTGTTGTTGGAGATACTCAGCAAAGAGTTTCCATAGCGAATAAGCAATCCAAGACAGAACAAAGAGCGGCCTGCTAGCTGTGATTGGCATGGAGTTAGTATCTACTTTATATTCCAGTTCCATATATTTTCTATTTTTTAAAGACCATTTCATGAAAAAAAGAATATACACCCAGAACATGAGATGGGCTCAATTACAACAACATTTCTAGCCAGTGGAATATGCAACTGATATGTACAGGGCAATTCTCTTCATACAAGTGCAGCCAACAGTTTCAGTTAACTCTAAGCAAGGACTGGTCTCAGGTAGATAAATTAAATCATCAAGCCTCCAAGATTTTCTAGCTCTGACGGGGAAGATAATGAGTAAAATTAACCCTAACAGTTAAAGAACTTTCATTAGAATCTAGATGCAAGTGCACAAGACGTTCATCTCTTCTGATTTATTATACTTAATCTGACAAGCAAAGCATCTCCTACACACGTATAACTGCAAAATACAAACAGGGAAACAGCCCAGTGCCAATTACTGAACAAGGATTAACAAAAGCTCACACTACATGCACATGAAAAAGGTGATTAATCTCAGTATCCTTCCGTCCTAGACCCCAACTCCCCATAATAACCAAAGCATCGTCTCATTTGAGTCACCTGATAAATGCCACATATGCATGCAGCATTCTACTGCAAATATTATATGTAGCATCACATAACAGACTTTAATGCAATACTAGATGATTAAAATCCACCAAGGCTCGCAAAATATCAGCAATGTAAAGCTGCAATCCAATCAAATAAGCAAGGCAAACCAAATTCTCCTCATAAGACCACTGCAAAACTTTTGGATTCATTCACATTTCCACTTTATTCTGGCGGAGCTCTTTGTACACACAAGAGAAAACTATGTTTCATACTACTAGTTTTAGGAACTTGTTTGTTTCGTAATCTACAAAAAAGCTATTTGAATAGAAGGTGATAGTCAGGAGTATAATACGGTAGGCCATACTATTCTTTTCCTCAAAACCTATGTTCCAGAGGAAGAAACATGGAATAACCTCTCCATGGATACCATCCGCAAATCCTAAAGTTCAAAGTACAGCTTGAAAAAAATTATTTGCAAAACAAAATACATATTAGCTTCTCATGTCAGATCAATTGTAAAGTTGCAGCCATAGAATATGAAAATAAAGCCCAACCAATCAAACAGGGATGAAGATAATTAACCTTAATTGTAGCTACCAACCTGCTTGTTATCGATTCCTTGAGCATCCAAACGTTTGAAAAAAACCTGAATAAGATACTCAACTACACTAGCACCCTTTGCTGCTACTTTACTCAAAGAACAAAGACACCTGAGATGATGAGAGACATCATCAGCACGGGTAGAAATTTGAAAGAGAGAAATTAGTTTTATCCAGAAAATAGATGAAACATAAACGCATAAATGTCCCAAATTTAGATCAACAAAGACCAAGGAACCTTTTTGTTTTATAAAACATGGCAGAATTGATTCGTGTATAGTCCTCATGGGAGAAAAAAAAGAGAAAAGAAGAAAAAAGAAAAAAGGGTTGAAGATGAACATGCATGTTTAAGTAATAGCATAATACATCGATAAGGGCATAAAGGAATAGACTGCAGAGTAATACAAGTCAAGATCTTATTTACAAACCATTCCTTGCTGCAGCAATCACAAAATAATGAGTGTGAGATAAAACACTAAAGCAGGGTCACACTTATTGGAAGCACAAGAACGTTATATACTAAATATTGCAACATGACCTAAAAGAGAAGCAAGAAAAGAAATTTACAGATTTACTTGACACAAGATGAACAAGCACATCCAAAAATAAATGTTGCAACATGACCTAGAAGAGAAGCAAGAGAGGAAACATTGATATTACTTGATGCAAGCATGGACCACTGTCAAAAACGAATGTCGAACAATCATTTGCTTCAGATCTTGCTCTAGTTCTTCAACAACACTCTGAGGCAGCTTTCGGATTAAGGGAAGAACAGAATCAATTATAAAGATTATACTCTCCAATAATTGTGCAATAGCTCGGTTATCAACCTGGGCACAAGTAAAAGCTAATTAAACTGTGTCATCTGTCTGAGAGCAAAGATACAACTGCAAATTTCTCTCTTTCTTATATCAGTATACTCGAAAAAATCTCTGATACAATCACTGCACTGGTACATCTTCCAATAAGATTTCAGTATTTGTGACAAATTACTGAAATCTGAACAGAAGATGCATGTACAAAGGATTATTGAAGATTTTTCCCACTGTAAACTGAACTCAAAAGAAAAAAGTAGGAGAAGAATGTGCACTGTAAGGGGGGAATATTAAAGAAACACAATTGCATCAAAACAATGCCAAGTTACATGGAAGTAGGTTGTTCGTGCAGTTTCCAAGGAGAAAGAAATGCTAAGCACATTCCACTTGACTCAAAGATGAACAGGTACAGGTTAAAAGAAAAAATCTCTCAACAGGCATACAAGTTTAGACCTGGTATATGTCAATTCTGCATAAAAAGGCTATATCCACTAAGCAATGTTCTGAGATACAAATCTAGAGGAATCAGAGGCTTAAACATTTTTTTCCATGACATAGCTGCTCTAAAAAGTCAAACTTAGAACATCAGAAATTGCAAGCCGAGGATTTTGATTATCACCCCCAAAGAATGGCACCCCTTTTAGCAGCTTGTACACATAAGCCAACAATTCCTCTGGGTTGCCACTAAACAAAACCCCTTCCCCATCTCTGAAATTAACTCAATTGTTCAAACTTGTTTTTCCAGGAATGTGAAAATATAGACTTGAGTTATATATGATTAATGATGCCCAAAAACTAGAAACAAAGAACCCACCTATAACTCAATTTCGGGGGAAACTACTGAAAATTTTGAATTGTAAATGCATGTCCACCTAATCAGTGCTCAAATTCACCATAAAGATCAACCATTTACCACAAAATACAGCCAGTAGAGTTCAAATTCATCCCTAAGCAGAATAGAAAAGATGAAAGGGAAGCTAATAAAATGCAGTTCTTCAGACTACTGCAGATTCTGATTCCATTTGATTCCCAAAGCTTGATATGGGTTCAAATCCAATTTGTGGATGTTGGATTCCTAAATTCAATCATTTACCCTTCACCAGCTAACTCATTGAAAGAAACCAAACCCATGCTTGACAGTCAAGCAACAAGATCCAATACCATATGTGTGGATATAATAACCAAAACTACCAAAATTATGCCACCAGATTGACAGAACATTGTTAAAAAAAAAAAAAAAAACTTCAGATAACCTGACTCTTGAGATATGGCTGAAGAGTAACAACAAACTGGGAGGGATCAGAAGCAGGTGCACAAAGCGTTGGATCAACAACACAAAATGCATGCAATGCAAGCACATAAGGAAGTGTGCAGAGCTCCACTTCATCGCTATTCATTTCCTCTACCTGCGAAGAAAAAATTTCTTATCATGTCCCTTGCAACCAAACAGGCAATCAAAAGTGTAAAAAATAAAATGAAAACAGAAATACCTGCAGTATTCTTTCCAGTAAGCACTTGCACATCAACTCACAGCGCTTGCGCACTGATGCAAGGGACACAGGGTTGATCCCAACAGCTTTAGCTGATTGAGGGAAAAAGTCAAGTGCTAGATTGCGCTTGATGACTGTGACAAGAAGCTGATGACTTGGCATCCTCCTCAACATCTCAACAATTTGCTCAGTCTTCTTAGCCACCTCCAGTGGCACAGAACTGCCATCTCCAAAAAATTGTGTTCGCGATCCAGAAGGTTCCTCGAACCAAAACTCATAAAATGTTTTGCAGACAAGATCCTGTACATAACAGAAGCATGAGTACAGGGAAATAGCTTAGGGGAAACACATTTTTATCTGTTGTTATTTAAGTAGCTTTTCTGGCTATGTTTTCTGCTACCCTGCCAGTTGAATTCTATAAAAGAAAGTAGAAAAAAGTTTTTATACCATTGTAATTTGCTGAAAGTCAGATTCCTAGAAGGAAACATTTTTATTATTTTTGGATGCTAGAGTGGTAAACCAGAAGATCACCATATTCCAGATTTTTGCAACACATTAGTCCCAGTGTGCGGGAAAACAGTGGTCAATAATGGCAGTTACACTTCAAAAGAATGTACGTTATGGTCTAACCAAATTGTACATAGCATAATCACATATGGCAACATGAAAAAGCTAAGCAAGTGGTAGACAATTATAGTCTGTAACCTAATTGCCTGAAATGATATACGAACTCATTCTGTTTTGCTCTAAACTACCTGAATACTGGATTCGTCATCACTGACACGGGATATGATCTCAATACATGCAGTTGTAAATTGAGTGAAGTTTGGATTTGAAATGCACATGTCTCTGATGATTTTGATAGCTCGTTTTCTCACACTCACTCCAGTGTCTTTTATCCTTTCAGCAACCTTCTCAAAATACTGCATCACAAAAATATGGACATGGAGAGGGAAGAAGCAGATGTAATAAAAAGAAGAAGAATTAGCCAGGTTTGTATTCGTATACCTGCAGACCAACATCAGGGTGTGAAGCAATATGCCTACCAACAAGTTCCAATGCAGCTTCTCTCACAGATATTGCTGAATCACAAAATCTTCCTTCAACAGCCAATTGTACTCGCTTGTCACGTAATACATCAGGATCAGCTTCTACAATAATACTGACCTGATCCCATGAACAAAATAAAAAGAAAGGCCACTGTATTACATCAACATAACCACAGAAGTGTTTAATTTACAATCAAAGGCAAAGCAGATCAAAATATAAATTCTTCTACTTACTGCTCGTAATGCCTTGGCCCTAATTACAGGAGAATTCTCCCTCAAACTTGCCTAGAAACAAGAAATGTGTAAGTATCAACACATGTTCTACACATGCATGGAAAATAGAGGAAGTGAGATGCTATACTGACCAAAAGCATATGAAGAATCTTATCGAACCCTCTACAAAAAGAACTATTTTGTCCCAGTGCTAAAGCAATCTTCTTAACAGAATCCCTCGTCAACAATGAAAATGCAGTCCCAGAATCACGCACGATAAGGTTTGATTTCAGTCTAGTGAGATGGTACATAAACTTTTGTTTAGATTTCGGGTCATCCTTGTACCACAAGCACAAATAAAACCTGCACAGACATGTTCTCTAATAAACAAAACTGTAAAACATTTAAATGGAGAGGAAGCAGCATCACAAAGTACAAACCAGCGAACAAAGAGGTATGCATCATCAGCAGATACAACATCTTGGAGGTAATTTAAAAGCATTTGTTGAACAATTTCAGCTTTTGTTACTGTATCTGAAGCATCCAAATTGTTCTTCTTCGACCGGATATTATCCTTTTTCTCCTCATCCTTGTAATGTGAATCGCTGTAAGATTGTAACACAAGAAGTTGATTCTTGCAGAGGCAAATCATACAGTGCCAGCTTCGATTAGGAGCTTCATGTTCTCTCACTCCCATGCAATCAGCATGAAACAATCTGTGACAACCCGGACACATAAACAACCTGTTCTCCACCCTTCCATCTAAGCAAACACAGCATGCATCTTTTGGGAAACTCAGATCCACATCATCCCCACAACTCAGTTCCTGCAATATCCAAAATTTGTTCCCACTACAAATAAGTGCATCCTGCTTTAGCCTTGCTGCAATGGTGCCCAGAAAATCAATGGCCATGGAACGTGCAGAGACGTCCTTGGATTTCAGTCCAGCATTCTGAAGTAGTAAGACACAAAGAACCTGCAAACAGAAGTCCCTTAGCATGAAAACACGTGATGTTTTCATGAGGAAGCAAAATTAGATTCAAATCTATCTCACCTCCAGAATGGGAGACGAAGAAGGGTATTCTGGTAAATTGAGAGTTGTTAGTAGATCTGTAACAAGATTCTCCATCATCACTTTCATTTCAGAAGCATCTTGATTCTTGACAGTTGTGAAGCGCTGGAGAACTCGGGTCCAGAAAAGACAGCAGGTCTCTGTGGCTGCTTCATGGGACTTGATAGGATAACTAGCATCCAAAGAGACTTCTAAGATGGAATTACCACTCGATGCTTGCCTCAAAGCATCAGGAAGGTTTGCACTGCTCTGAACCAACTGAATCAGTAAAGCAGTGACCATCTGAATCTGCCTCTGTTCTTCATCAGGCAGGTGATAGGCTCTTAGTGCTCGCTTTGAGGATGGTAACTTCCAGAGTAGCTGAACTATTTCGTCTATTATGTATGGACGATGCTGAATGTATGAATAGAATATCTGTACCATAATAAACAAAAATACACTAAGAGACCACAAAACCATGTGATGCATATGTATATTTACATGCATAGAAGGATGCATGCAAGTACAAATGCACATGCATTAGCTCTCAAGAAAAAGGAAAAGTGTAAAGAGCTCTACCCCACAGATTAACCCAATAGCCTTCATCTGCAAAAGTTGGATATTGTCCACCAAAAAAGTTGTAAAGCTTGTCCTCACCAACTGTAGAATGCAACTATCAGATAACCTCTCTATCAACAACAAATCCTTCAGTAAACCGAGTATTGTGCACAGTTTTTGTAGTATAGTATTCACAGCACCAGAGACCCTGTCAAGGAAAAAGGGTAAACAATCAAGAGAAACCTCAAGTTCTAAACTCTTAAATTGACCATAAAATTTAATATTAGGGGAACAGAATTTTGATAAGCGCACCTGTTTGATGATGACTTCTTCACTCTTACACTCTTTACAGTTCGCCGTTTCTTGTTAGCTGAACCATAGTCAGGGTCAGGCTCTTCGTCTTCATAACCTAAGAATAAATAGTAGGTGGTTTCAGCTTTGAGCAATGCAAGAAGAACTCATTTAAAAACCAATAAAAGAACACAATGACCTGTTTTGGTAAGGAAAACCAATTTGAAAATTTCATAACCATGCTTTTTTTCTTGTTTCAAAATGACATGCATAGTCATTAGCAATTTTCAGGAGAAAAGGAAAAGGCTGTTAGGGAATGGCAAGTTAACAGAAGGGAAAGAAACAACTGAATGAAGGTGCAATGCCTACCTTCAGGTGCCCCATTTTCACTAGGCCTATGCAAAGCACGATATGATGGATCATATGCAGACATCACATCCATTATTTGATGCTTAGAGAACTCCAAAATTCTTTCAATAATCTGATATGGAAACACCACAATCAATATTGATAAATTAAGAACATGCAAATCTTTAGAAAAACATGTAAAAACATACACAGCAGAGAGTGAATGCTTGATTTTTTTATTTTTTTTTCATTACAGAAAGAAAAAATTTAAAAGACATTTTTAATAAATCAAAATTATAAAGGAAGCACCTCTTCTTTATACAGCTGCTTTGGCATGTTATTATGCGCCATTACAGCTAGAGCTGCATGAATAGACTCCAGCGCACAGAAGACATAGGAGACTACTTCTGAATCTGACTGCAGCATTTAGAAAAACAGGAAAGCAAATTAAATAACTACATCATACTACCAACATAATGTAAACATCAACCACAAGCGAACACATCAAAGTTATTAGAGGACAAAAAATCAAACCATATCTAAAATCAAAACACCAATAGAGATATCCAGAAAACTCTTGACCAAAAAAAAAAATCAAAGTTCTAAATCCAAGGGCCATAGTTGATGGTTCTAATTAAGCAAGATGACTGTTCAAGCCATCAATTTCCTTGGACTTTTATTAAGCATTTCAACAGCAGATCAAAGGAAACAGAATAAAATTCAAATTCCACAATCATATATTTAGCCTATCATTTGTACCATGGACCACATCATTATCGACATAGATTATTGACTTGATCCTTGAAGATCTTGTAGAAGAACTCAGTGTTATATATCCCAAAACTCCACTTAAAGAACTCCCACCAACTTAGACAGGACAAAATTACACTAAGACACATTAGATTTAACAGACTGATATGCAATAAATGTGAACGGTTTAGCTCACAAGACTGCTAGCAAAGGAGTTGATAACACTGAGAATGAATATAATAAATTTATAGTCTCCTTATCTTATTACTAACAAACAGTAAATGGCATCCTAAGAAGTGTATAAAAAGAGAATGCTATGATAATTGCATCAAAAGGGAAGTAAATCAACAACTTAGATAGCTAACAAGGATAAAGTTCCGAAAGTGAAACTTAAAAAAAAAAAATACAGGTGAACTGTCCCAGAATAAAATTTAGGGCGACACCACATCCTACAAGCCTACAGGAACTCAGATGTGAATAAAAAAACAAAAACTCACATGTTCACATTCATCAATGGATAAGCCTTCAGCTCGATGTATTTGGTGATCCAGAACCCTCAAGAGTCTTACAAGAACTTCTACGGGGATCAAATTTAAAAGCTTTTTTGCACGTAACGATGTTATTTCATTCACAAGCTTTCTGAGGTCAGCAGCAGGCAACGATAACCACTCTGCTTCTTCCCGATCATCACCAGGAACTTCAGCTCTTCCACAAAAGTCTTCCAACATATCACAGAAGCTTCCAATTGTTGCATCTGAAAAGAGATGTCAACAGAAAAACCATAAAATGAATAAGAAATGAGAGATAAGAGTTCAAAATATCACCAGTAGCTCTACCTTGAAGCTCAGCAGGATCTGGCTGAATCACTGCTGAAATGTCATCACTGCCTTTTTTCTTGACTTTTGGTTTCCTCAGAGATGAGGCAATGTCCTGCAGTTTATCCCCTAAGTTACCAATAAATATTGAACTCGATCACATAAAGCTAAATCCAAAATTTTGCATACATTAGGGGTGTATTTTGGTTGGTGATTTTGAAATCCATCATAATCTCTTTGTGCTTGATACGAAACAGGTACACTTAGCTCAATGCGCTTGCTTTCAAATGCTGCATTTCCAGAAATTTGCCCCTTACCTGAGAAACTTGAACAAATGCAATAACCCACAAGCACAGCAACTCTTAAGTGTTATGCAAGAAATAATGCAAGCTTTAAAGGAAAATAAGTTTAAAGAATAGTATATAACATGCAAAACACCTAAATATGGTACATTTATCTATTTATGAATTGCTCTGTCAAATGATGGCCCCTAAAGCTACCTTCATGTCTTTCCAGCTACATACTCCACTCCCAAGTGGTGATCGCTACATCTTTTTTATTCAGTTACGAGGACCACCATTCCTGTCTCATTATGCGTGATTCATTTCTATTTACAATTACAATTATTTTAGTGACAACACATTTGCTTTAATTAAAAATCTAAAAGAGCATTTCCATCAAAAGGAATATTTGCAGTTGATTGTAAGTGCTTCACGGATCATAAAATATATGAACCATTAACCAAAATCCATAAATATTATATTTTTATATACGCGTTGTATAGGAAGCAATCCAGGCATCTCCAAGGGAAAATTAATGCCCGAGACCAACCAGAAACATATTAAATGTAGGTCAATTGGTGTATTGTGGTCAGACTATTTCAGCTATAAAGTCTAAAGATAATCACCTAGGAAGAAGTCACCTTCCATTTTCTGACAGGTTTCTTCACAAAAATTATATGCAAAGAAACAATCCTCATATAAATAAAAGAAGAACCAATGACAATTTGATGAATTATGAAAGATATGATAGGACTAGATATAGAAGGAAGCCACCATGCTCTGTCAATTCTAAAATTTAGCAACAATAGGATTAACTTGCTGTGTCTTATCCCACTCATCCTCAAAGTCCACTCTCAAGATCATTACAACAGAGAAGCACATACACTACTAAATGAAACAGAGAGAAATAATTTCACCTCCATATCATGCAATTATCTTATCTACCTAAACACTTCCAAGCCATCTCTTATCTATCTAAATCTGATCTCTTAATTCTCCCTGTCAAACAAAACAGAAGTGTCATAGAAATCACCTTAGGGAAACCACGGGACATTATTCCCTATTTTCTATGCTCGTCTAATGTATCCCAAACTTAACATCTCATCAACTAAAGACCACTTTGTCAGTAAACTTTCTACAAGCATACCTAATAGTCTAATCAACATGGTAAACACAAAGGTTAAATGTAGGCACTCATATTGCAATCATGCTATTCTTCTTTTCTGAGACTAATAGCATTGAAAATAGAATAAAGAATACCTCAAAAAGTACCCTTATATGGAAACATATTCCTAAAAGCTTTGAATTATACCCTTTTCCAAATGATCCCCACAGTTCACAATCATCTCTTCATCTAATAAACATAAGCCTAAAACTGCTATGCAAACTTGCTGCATTCATCTATAGCAATTAAATCATCTATCACTTCAACTATACATTAAAAGAGTCGTTTCTAGTAAAGAGAAGATATAAAAAGAGAAAAAGCGTGTACTTTGTTTACCATGAGTAACATACTCAAATGCATCAGGATTGCAGCGAAGAACCTCTTCATAAAGTTCCAACCGCTCCACGTTGTCAGTCGCAGTTTCCCTATTCTCATCTCTAAGTGTCCTGCAAAACAACACCAGGCATTAGCAAAATCATAAAACCGACACAATAAAGATGAGCATGACCAAAATCATGGATTTTCTGGACAAGCACGTTTAGTTAATCAAGAAACTACGGAATTAACACAAATTAAGGTTTTGAAAAGAAACTCGGTGTAAAGTAAAATATTAATTTATTCAGTTCAAGCATGAATTAAAGTTCGTTGCACAAAAAAATTACATTTATCATTCGAATTTCAAAAATAACAAATAATAAGTAAAAATAAATAAGTTATTATGGAAAAAAGGAAGGCTTACAGGTAGGATACGTCGGTTTGACGAAGCAGATCAGCGATTCTGGAAGACTGAGACAGAATTTCATTTCGATTCAAAAACCAGAAATTACTATGTCTAGCACTAGCTCCGTCGAACAGCCGGAGCTCCGGATCCGAAGCGCCACAGAAAACAGGAAGCGAAGGCAAGGGCAAACACGGCGCAACTTCAGAGTGTATGCTGTTGGACAGGCCGATTCCTCTAGGAACCGAACCCGAACCGCTTGGATTTGAATTTGAATTTCTCATCGATTGATTAACCGGTGAGTTCTGAATTGACTAACTAAAAGCATCAAGGGAAGAAGTAAGGGAGGGGGGAGGGATAATAAGTTGGAGTGGTAATGGTGTAATAATGTGGAAGTGCAGGGGTAATTAGTGAATAATTAGGGTTTTCAGTAGACTCCGCGAGTCTATTTGTTGAGACCAGGAGGGAGAGAGAGAGATTGGGGGAAGAGAAACGAGAGAAGCAAAATCACAGTTGGCGGGGAAAGTGATTTTATTTTGGGGGATTTTTTGGGGATAAAAATGTGGATTTTTTTGGGTCTTATAGGAGAAGAAAATTGGGAGGAGTCGACAAACTTACTGAAACACCCTTGGTTGACGGTTTCTGCCTTCTCTCTTGTTATGGAGGTTGGGGAGGTGGTTTTGTTAAAGAAACTGAAAGGGACTAAATTACTGGAATTACTAAATTGCCTTTTTTATTTTGATTTCTGTTTTGGATTTGTGCATTCGTCAGCTAGCTTGTCGAGGAAGTTTGGTGTTTGAAAACTCGAGAGCCGTGGAAATTAGTTTCGAAAAGGAAAAAGAGGGAATTTTTTTCTTGTTTTTGTATTTGGAACTTTGTGTGTAATAAATTTGGATGAGAAGGTGTACTGTATATTTAAAAAATAATTTTAGTTTTAAATATTTTAAAATTTTAAAATTTTTTAATATATTCTTATATGATAGATAATTTAAAAATTAATTAGTATCATTTTTCCAAATATATCGTAAATTTTTTTTACACCTTGTATTAAGAGTGTATTAAGAATATGTTTGAAAATATAATAGTTATTGTTTTTTAAAATAGTTTTTAATTAAAAATATATAAAAAATTTAATTTTTGTATAAGATAAATTTGAGTTGTAAGGACTCATTTTCAAACTTATTTCATATATTGTTAAAGAAATAATTCAATAAGTAGTGATTGTAATTTAAATAATAATAAAATATAATTTATATTTTTTTGAATATTCTCATCTTTATCTTATGATTTTGTTTGTAATTAATGTAATGTGATTAGATATGTAATATGATCAAATGGGTCAGATCAGTGTTTTTTCTCTTGGAAAAGAAATTAGGAAATGATCATGCTTTTAAAGAGGTTGGAGAAATTTGACAATTGAGTTAAACTTTAATAAATTTGACAATGTAATAAAAAATAGGGTAATAATAATAAAAAATAATATTATTTTAAATCAAGTTTGATTAACAAGTGAAATATGTGACTTGAATATAAGATATGTCAATATTATGTATATGTCATGAGTCCTAAATTAGAGGATCGAGATATTTTAATAATAATAATAATAATAATTAATGATAAATATAAATAAAATTATAAAAAATATAAGATAAATATAGATTAATATATTTAAAAACACAACTTAGGTTATGTCCCCATTTTGTTCAATGCACTTGTTTATTATAATCAATTTAAAATAGAAAATTAATAAACACATTAAATTTATTGAATTAGATAAAAGAAAAAAATATTATATAAGACTGCACATATTAAAATTTTTATAAAAAATAAACATTTTTAATTTTTAACAATAAATTTAATGTATATTGAATATAAAAAAAATTATATATGAATCATATTAACTTCATGAAAAAATAAAGATATAAGATATAATTAAAAGTAGTCATTATTTAAAAAAACTAAACAAACCAAAAAAAATTGAAATAGGTATTAATTAAAAATCTAACTTAAAAAATAGTTAAAAAAAAAAGATATTAAAAATATAGTAATTGAAAAAAAAAAGTATCAAGATAGGAAAAGCCCGAACTTGCACGGGGCTATTATTTTATTTTTATTTTTAAAAGGGTCGATAATTTTGAAAAAAAACAGTTGCCGACATGTAACTTATAATGATACGTAACTTTTTATCTACGAGCATAGATTTCAGATATCATTATAATAGTTGGAAAATCATGCCTATGGGTTTTGTATTCAAAAAAATTATTTTTCAAACTCATTTCAACACAAAACACACTATACAAACATCCTTAAATATAAAGAAATCTACCTATCAACCTAATAAATGAAAAATTGGTCCAAACCACAAAATAAAACAGGATTTTTTTTTCATTCTTGACTTAGATCTAGTTTTTTAGGTTATTAAAACTTAAAATAATCACTATAAGGCTCTCTTAAATTAAAGGAACTCATTAATACCAGTTTTAACTTGTTTGATGATTGAAATTGTCTTTAATAAAAGATTCTCTATCTTTTTGCTGAAATTCGAAACTCCTCTCTTTCCTCTCGTGAAAAAAATTTGAAAATAAAAAAATAAAATTTGATATCAAAATATAATTTGCTAAGACAAAAGGACTGATCATGTAACAGAAAAAAAGTTAAGGGACAAAAATATACTTTCCAAACAACTTGCAAAGTCGTCACCTATATTACTTAAGTATTTCACATCAGTCCTTTATTTTTTAATTCAACTGGCCATTCCAAAAAAATACACGATTGGGTGTTAACTTATGCTTAAAATGGCTACATTATGCAAAATAAAAGTTTAATAATTAAATTACAAATAAAAAAAACTCTACTTCAATCCCTCAAGCCATATAAAATGTTTTTAACATAAAAAAATGTTCAAGTATTATTAATATATCTTTCAATAAAGATAAATTAAACATGTATTCAAAATATGATGCATATTAGATGAACTTCTTTTTAAATATTGATATAATGATATATTTGGATGGTATTTTTTTTAAATATCAAGATGTCGATATACTGGATTAATCTAGGTTACCCTGTTAAATCTACAACTCAGTTCATGAGACTATAATAACTCTGGAGAAAGCAAATTAAAATAAACTACGAAGAATAATTCTTAACCAACTTAATATTAAAGGAAAAAATCAATAAAAAATAACAATATAAAACTTTAAAGAATGAGAAACATACTCAAGTTAATTTTTCAAACTCATGACTCGGGTTATAAGATCATGATAACCCTATAACAATTAAATAAAAATTACGATGTCTAATTTTAAACCAGCCTAATATTGATGGATGAATTTTTTTTAGAAAAAGTGATAAAAAACAACTCGAGTCAACTTAAGTTTATATATTAAACGTGCGATCTAGGTTATAAAATTAAATTAATTTATAAAAAGAAAATTAAAAAAATTATGAAATCCCACTTTCAATAAATCCAATATAAAAAGTTGATGTTGAAAAAAAAATAAAAAATAAACTTATGAGACCAATATACAACCCAACAAAGAGAAAACAATAAAAAATATCACAAAGCATAATTCTAGAAAAAAACTCATATTAAAGTATGAAAGCGTAAAAGAAAAAATGCTTATCAAAACAAATAATTCAAGTCAACTTAAACTAGCATGTTAAATTCATAATATAAGTTTTAAGATTAGAATTAAATTATATAAAAAAAAAATCACATAACTTCATTTCTAACAAATCTATTGTTAAAACAAATCTATTATTAAAGGTTAAAATAACAATAAAAATTTAAATTCATAAGATTAGGATATAACCAAACATAGAGAAAAAGAATACAAAACACAATTATCAAATATGATAATTGTGAAAATTCTTTGAATTATTCAACTTGATTATGATCCACTTTCTGGATGAAAGAATTCATAGCATTTATATTTTTTATTTTGAAAAACTTTGTTGATATTAAAAAAATCTATTTTATTAATTCGAGAGAGGAGACTCCCATCGGTTGGGAGCCTCAGGTCATCCCTGGTATTGCCATTCTCAGTCAGCAAGCTCACCTGAAATTTTAAATGCAGCTTAGACCCAAGTTCAACTAGCCTACGAAAAAAATCATACACGTAAAAGAGACCACGAAACATACAAATCCATCCTATGAGATGTCAATCAGGTGACAGTCAGTACGGGTGAAATGGGGAACCTGCAATGCAATGGAAAGAGCGATTCAGATCATGGACAAGTTCAGTGATATTTATTAACTGTTTGGATTGTAATTGTAGTTATTTTTAAAGTATTTTTTTGTAATAAAATATATTAAAATAATAATTTTTTATTTTTTAAAAGTTATTTTTGAGATTTGCACTTCAAAATAATAATATATATATATATATATAATTATTTTAATATTTTTTTAATTTTTGTAAAATGCGATTTACACTACATTTACAAATGACTTCTTACTAATAAATTATGTACAATAAACTATAAAAAAATAAAAAAATAAAAAATTGAAAAACTTTGTTGATATTATGATCCTATATGTTATATATGAGATTTTTTTATTTTTTGTATTAATTTTTTAAAATAATTTTATTTTAACTTTAGTTATCAAAAATGTTCCCAAAAAAAAAATTAATGCAAGGGCTACTTATAATATTTACTGGTTCTCTGGTCATGCATGACATATAACGAAGAGGATTTTTCATATTTTATATTTATATTTAAATATTTGATTATTTTTATCTTAATTAGCTAGGATGTGTTTGAGATTGTAACATTAATGATAATTTAAAATATTTTTTATTTAAAAATAGATTAAAATAATTTTATCTTTAAAAATTATTTTTAATACTAGCACACCAAAACAATCTAAAAATATAAAATTTTTTATTTAAACAAAAAAATTTAAAATTTTAAAAAATATGATTTACATCAAATTTACAAATATACTATTAATCAAAAGAAACATGAACTTTAAGGTGAAGGTCACTGTATAAACAACTATTAACATGCATTATAATAATTAAAAAAATTAAAAGAAAAGGCAGAGAACTTTATTTTTCTTATATTAACATAATAAAAACATATTATTTCAATTTATTTCCAACTATTCACGTGCTAATAATATGATAATAACCACAAGGTTCTTTTAATTCCTTTTTAGGTAAAGATTTTTGAAAGTACGATAGAAAATATATTTCAAAGTTTGTTTTTGATGAAAATATATTTAAATAATATTTTTTAAATTATTTTTAATATTAATATATCTAAAATAATTTAAAAATAAAAAATATTAATTTAAAATAAAAAATAAAATTTTTAAATATTTTTAATATATTTTTGAAAAGCAAAAAAATCATTCAATTAATTTAAAAAAATTAGAAGAAATTGTTGTAATTTAACGTATCAGCATAAGGATAAGCAAAACGCGTAAATCGAGACAGAAATTAATAGGATACATTTATCACGTCATGATTGATTAAATGCCTGAAATCAATATGAATGTTTTTCACGTTCTATCACGAGGTCTATTAAAAATAATCAATGACAATTTCATAGAAGATGACTGGGAAGCCCAACAGGCTAGTAAAAACCTGAAGCTTTTCTAGCCAGTATTGGGCCCTAAACATTCAGAGCACATTAAACGGGCTCAAACTTGGTCGTCCAATCCAAAACCAAGACTAAGCCCAAGCCCTAGCAGTCTACTACAGTTTTTTTTTTCTCTCTCGCTATTGCAGTATCTTATATTCCTCCCTTCTCTATAATAATAAAATGAGGACATAAGATGACAACATATGTAACATCACATAACAATAATAAACGGGTCGATCTTCTTATAATAATAAATTATTAGTATGCTATATGATGCTAAGAGTGACGACGAGGGTTTTAAAAGTATCAAAAATTGTATAATTGTTATTTTATTCAAAAATAGTGAAAAGATGTAGTGATATAATTTAATATTGAACAGACTAGATTGCCTCGTTGACTCTTGGAGGTAATTGAGCTTTTGTATGTTTATGTACTTAAAAATTATTTAAAAAAAAATTAAATTATTTTTTATTTATTTCTCTCTCTCGCTATTGCAGTATCTTATATTTTTGCTGCAATTGTGGTTATTGTAATTTTAAATTTCCACATTTAAAGATTTAATGCCTGTTTATTTCTGTACTCAAAAATTATTTTTTTAAAAAAATTAAATTATTTTTTATTTATTTTAAATCAATATATTTTTAATGTTTTTAAATCATTTTGATGTGCTAATATCAAAAATAAATTTTAAAAAATAAAAAAATTATTAATATATATTTTAGCATAAAAAATTATTTCAAAAATAATTATAACCATATTCTCAAACAAGCTATTAATTTTTCTTTTCGGCTTTTTAGTAGCAATAGTTTACTCTCGTATTTGGTAATTTGAATACTTGGCATTTCTATAATTTTCCAAAAGGAGTTTGAATAATGTTTTTATAATAATATTTTAAGATGATAGATACAAGGGGAAAACTCAAAATTCATAATATCAACTTCTGATATTATTTTTAGATCTTAGATATTGATTTTACAAGAATTAATTTGAAATTGAATATTTAAAAATATAAAATACAAAATCATAAGAAATGGAAAAATATTAAGAGAAGAGAGGGGGATGATAACGGAAAGAAAAAGAAAATTTTTGAAGATACAAAATCCAATCATTAAATTGGCCAAATAACACTATTATTGTGAGAGATTAGGAGATTTGAGAGAATTATATATCACTATTATTGTGAGAGATTATGGGATTTGAGAGAATTATATATTTGAAATTTTAAATCTAAAAACTCTAAAATTAGATCTTTGGTGGTTAAAATTATGTTCTAAGACTAGATTTGTGTTTAAGATTATGAGGAGGGTTTACATGTATTTTATAAAAAATAAATTAAAAATAAGATTTTAAACCGTAATTAACAAATTTTCTTAAACCTCAAATCTTAAATCCAAAGCTAAATCTTAATTTCTATTTGTTTTTATTTTTTTAAAATATAATTTTTTGGAAGGAAAATAACAAGCAAGGAAGTGTTGATTCTCTTGACGAGAGGCAGTGTATCAGAACTAAACATAATTAATTTATATAAAGCATTTTAAGTAACTTTATTTTTTGGGATTATATTAACTCATAGAATACACCTTTTCCTTTGTTTCTTTCCCTGAAGATTCATCGTTGCTTTTGGAAATGATGACTGTGGAGGCAACAGAAATCTTTAATTTCATGAACAATCAGTCCTTATTAGAAGAATATGAAACTTCCTTAGCCAAACGAATTAATGCTTGGATTTTCTCAATTCACCTTCAATATATTCACTATTAAATTTAATATTTTTACTATTTACATTAACATTACCTTTGTGATTATTTTATCAATGTAACCGTGAACAAAAAACATTCATTGAAAAAAAATACTCATTAATAAATTGATCGATAACTTTATAGATGGATGATGCACAATATAAAATTTACCCAATAATATTTATTTAGATGAATTATGCATCAATCAACAATGAAAGAATATATTTTTTTATTAAGTGATCGTTTTTATATTACCTCTTAATTAGAAGATATTTTATTTTAATAACTATAATTAATATTTAATTATTTGAAAGTTGATTATGTTGCTAAATAAGATGTATTCGTTGATTCATGGTGAGCTAAAGAAGGCAAGTAATTCTTTTAGGTTACCCCAATAATTTTTCCTTATCTTTCAACCAAGACTATGATCCATGAAAATCTTATGGATTGATAATATAAAATCAAACCCCATTAATTATGTTTCCTATTCGGTGTTTAATTGATGGCTATATGTATAAATATGAAGTCAAGCAATCATGCACGATCAAACTTCAGCATTTTTCTTCAATATCTCTTTCTCTAAATCATGGCTAGTTTCAAGAACTCCATTGCTTGTTTAGTGTTAATGGCACTTGTGGGAGTGGCTAGGAGTGACCAAATTAGCTTTGGTGAAAAAATAGACAGTTCATGGCATGATGCACATGCAACTTTTTATGGGGACATAAATGGTGGACAGACAATGAGTACGTGTATATATATTTGCACACACACATGTTCTTGCCACTTTCATATCAAGTATTATTTATTCATTTTGTGTAGTTTTTTGCTGGTGAAAACAACAGTTATGTATACTGATTTCTTAATGTGTTGTTTATTTGTTGGCAGTGGGAGCTTGTGGCTATGGCGATCTCTTCAAACAAGGGTATGGACTTCAAACAGCAGCCTTAAGCACAGCACTCTTCAACAATGGACAAACTTGTGGCGCTTGCTTTGAACTCAAGTGTGTGAATGATCCACAATGGTGCAAAAACCATGCTGGCTCCATCAAAATCACAGCAACCAATTTATGCCCTCCCAATTACGGAGCTCCCAATGCCTGGTGCAACCCACCACAACAGCATTTTGATCTATCGATGCCCATGTTTCTAACGATCGCACAATATAGAGCAGGGATTGTCCCTGTCAAGTATCGCAGAATCTCGTGTTCCAAGGAAGGAGGGGTTAAGTTTGACATTCATGGCAATCCCTATTGGATGCTTGTGTTAGTGCGCAATGTTGCGGGGGCTGGTGAAGTTATTAATGTCAGGATTAAGGGCTCACAAACTCGTTGGATACAGATGTCAAGAAACTGGGGACAGAACTGGCAGACCGGGACTGATCTTGTGGGACAAAGCTTGTCATTCCTAGTTACTACAAGTGACCACAAGAGATTATACTTTAACGATGTTGCCGGTGCTGACTGGAGTTTCGGACAAGCTTACGATGGGAAAATAAACTTTTAGAGGATAGATAGGTTCTTGATGTTTTATTGCATGCTTCGTTTTGCATATGTAGGCTATTAGCATAACTTGTACGTCTGCAGATGGTTGCGCCTTCGTGCCAGCTTGGGATATGAACAATGTTAGAGTTAGAATTAACGTTTTGGGAAACAATACATTGTTAATTTGATGCCATTATATGCGTTGCAACATTCCCAAGCAATAATATTATCTTTCTTGAAAGAAATCCTTACTTGACTAAATGATGGGCTCATGTGATTGTAATGCAAAAGCCAAAACTGAAGCCAGTAATCCGATGATACCAGACACGAGGCTCTGCAGTTGCAACTTTACGGCCTGCAGGTTGCTGAGATTAGGAGATTTATCATGTAAGTGAACCTGTGGTGGTTCTCTCAGTACAGATTTGCTATCCAGCATCAGAACTTGGCAAAGTTTCTCAAAATACAGCATACAATTATTATCCAATAGTTGACCCTTCGCTGCTCTAAAACTCAAAAACAAAACCCTCATGGCGATGCATAACCCCACATCTTTCTGTAAAAAAAAATAAAATAAAAATCGCATGAATCCCCCATAAAATGCTATTGAACAACCACCAAAATTACAAAAACCCAATTCAAAGGATCGAGACAGATTCAAAAAACCAAAAAATCATAAGCACATTAATGATTCAATAGCATATCCCATCAAATATTTATTACATTCACAGGAACATAAATACAGAGAGAAAAACCTGGATTGTGAAGACTGCAAAATTGAGATGGAAAAAGGAAACGAGGGAGAGATGAGGAAAAAAAAATGCCTAGTAATTTTGTAAATCGGTAAACACATGCTTGATTTAAGCTTGTTCAAGCCTTATAATCAGGAAGTTTCAGCTATGCCATAAAAATAATTTCAAGTCCAAGCCCTGCAACAATGAATTCCAAGCTCTATAACCAGGAAATTCAAGCCCTATCACTAGGGAATCCAAGCTCTACAATCAAGAAATTCAAGTTATGTCATTAGAAAGTTTGAACCCTGAAATTAGGATTCACAAGCCTTTTTAACTATAATAAAGAAGTTCAAGCTCTGTCATTTGAAAACTTAAAACTCTGCAATTAGAAATTTCAAGCCTTACAACTGTAAGAAGGAAGTTCAAGCCTTGCCATCGGAGAGTTTTAGCCTTGCAATCAGGAATCTCAAACCTTGTCACAATGAAGTCTTAGCTCTGCAATCAGGAAGTTCAAGCATAGTCATTAGGAAGTTTCAACCTTGTCATTAGAAAGTCTCAGGTTCAAACCTTGCAATCAGGAAGTTAATCCCTGCAATCATGAAATTCTAGCACTGGAATTAGGAATCACAAGCCCTTTCACCTATAATCAGGAAGTTCAAGCCATGTTATCAAGAAATTCCAGCCCTATAATTAGAAATTTCAACGCTTTACAATTGTACACCGAAAGTTTAAGCTTTGTCATCATGAGGTCTCAGCTCTGTAATCAGGAATCTTAAGCCTTGTCAGCAGGAAGTTCAAGCCCTGCAATCAGGAAGTTCAAGCAATGTCATTAGGAAGCTTTAGCCTTGCCATTAGGAAGTTTTAAGTTCAAGCCTTAAGTTTCAACCCTATACCACCAGGAAGTTTCAACCCTATACCATCAGAAGTTTCAAGTTCAAACCATGTAATCATGAAGTTCATCGCTTTCCACCAGGAAGTTTAAGCTCTGTAATTAGAAAGTTCGAGTCTTACCATCAGAAAGTCCAGGATCTATAATAAGAAAGTCCATGCCATGCAATAAGGAATTTCAAGCTATATCACCACGAAATCCAAACCCTCCCTGTAATTAGGAAGTTCAAGTCGTGCCATCAAGTAGTTCAAACCCTCCAATCAAGAATCTCAAATCTTGTAATCAGGAAGTTCAAGCCCTTCCATTAGGATGTTTCAAGCTTTTCTGTCAAGATGTTTCAAACCTTTCTATTGGGATGTTTCTAGCCCTTCTATCAGGAATTTCAGGCCATGCAACAATTTTTTTTAGGTCATATCACAATGAAGAGTTTTAATCAGAGCATTATAAAAAAATTCTAGCTAGTCAAAGTAAACTCTACAATCAAAGTAACATTCTATATGGAGGTTGATTTATTTGATCAATTTTGAATTCCATGTTAAAATGGTTACCTCTTAATTTGATTTATTTAAATTTTGTATTGAGATTGGTTACTTTTTGATTTGATCCATTTGAGTTTCTTATTAAGATTAATTGCCTCTCAAGCTAATTTATTTAAGTTTTTTTTATCGTTTAATCTAATATAGAAATTATTTATTTCTCGATTTAATTTATTTAAGTTTTTCATTGAGATTAGTCATTTTAAGTTGATCCATTTAATTTTTTTATTGAAATTATTACCTTATTATTTAACTTTTCAGTAAAGATTAGTCACCTCTCAAATCAAGTTAACATATTTAAGTATTTTTTAAATGATTCTTTTCTTTTTTAGTGTTTTTGAGTAGTTATTTATAAATTTATTATATAAACTCAAAAGAAAAATAAATTTTTCAATATATATATTGCAAAGAAGGGGTAATTGATGTCTTATTCTTAAACCTTCGTTTTTTGTTTTTTAATGTATTTTCAAAATATAAAAATCTTACAAAAAAGGTCTTTTGATGTCATTTCATGATTTTTAGAATTACATAATTTTAAAAAAAGCATATAATGAAAAAATGAAAAAAAAAACATTAGGGTATGAAATGATGAAAAAATAAGGAAAAGGGACCAAGATGATGGATGATAAAATATCATAAGGTAAGATCATACAAATGAGAAAAAAATAAATAAATAAGAGAATAAAGCAAAATTAATTTTTTTTTTTGTAAAAAGATCCTAATTCAAGAAGGAAATAATGAGAAGATCTAATATTATGTTTTTTCCTCTTATGATAAAACCCATTTAATATCAATAAAGGAGAAACAAGGAGAGCCTAACAGACAAGAAGAAAGAAAGGACTAATACGGCAGCTAACAAAAAAAAAAACAAAACCTAGCAATTATCTTTTTCATCCTTTCCACCCTCTCCCACTGCTACTGTAATAGACTCCAGTTGCTCACCATCATCTCCAATCGAAACCACCTCTATCATTCCATCCGACACCATAGCCTTGAGCTTCCATAGCCCTAAGCTTACAACTGAAACAGTAGCCGTCTGACAACCCAAGAATTGCTTTATGATAGACTAAACTTGATGAAATAACCTCTCTTTCTCTCCTATTAGTCATCGCAGCCTTCTCTAATAGCCACCTGAAAACCATACCACCATCGCTAGATTGACAACTCAAGAAAACCCTATCACCCACCATTTCCGATTAACAAATCCATCAACATCACTCGGCACAACTTTTATAAATAAACACTTTTCCTCTATAAATCCCTCAAAACTCACAACAATAAGCCATAAATAACAACCACTAACACACCCAAAGATCCAATTTCTAAACCAGTTTGTTTTTTTTTGCTTTTCTTGCAGGATTTAAAGAGGCACGCGCAACACATGCACCATGCATTTGTCACTTCTAGCACGTGAGGTGCACACACTGACACCGCCCTCTTCAATTTCCAGTAGCTTTAGGCCACACATCTCTCGAAGGTCAATTTTGAATCTGAATAAATTTCCATTCATATTTTATAAGTGTTAACATGACATTAATTATTGTGAATTGTGATATTTGAATTGTGTGGATTTTGCGTGCATGGGTTCTATATATATGTAATTGATTCATTGCATTATCTGCTAATTGTTCTTGTTATTCATAAAGTCAACATGCGATACATGAATTATTATTGGGTGTTGTTTAAAGATGTTGATATGTAGATGGATGAAAAATTGTTTGATGTGAGATTTGATTTTATCATTTAAAATATTTTTTTAAAAATATTATATATTTATTTTTATTTTTCATGATTTTATTGTGTAATACTTGTTTTTGTTATTTATAAAACCAATTCAGGATAAATGAGACACCTGAATGTTGTTCAAGGATGTTGAAAAGTGGGCGATATAATCTCTTAATACACTACTTGCCCTATTATTTAAAAATAAAAAAAATCAAAATATATTTTGTTCTATATATTATTTTTTTACATATTTTTTAGAAGCTAGAACATCTTTCCATAATTTAACGTAAATACTTGGGATAGATCAACACGATTCTATAAAGACTAATGATCGAGAGGTGGTTTTTGGACCTATTTTAAAACTTAACTAAAAAAGATAGATTGGAGCCTATTTTATTATTTACCATTTTTTCATATCTAAAGCTCGTACTTTAAAAGTAAGGATTAAGCCTTGTTATTAAATTTAGATTCCAAATTACTATTTTAAGTCATAGAAGTCCTTTACCTTCGATAATAAAATCACATATACCATTTTAGAAAATTTCTCAACATATATGAACAATATATATATTTTATCATTAAAAACAAATATGAAGCAACTTAATTTAAGTATGATATTTTAGGGTGATTTTCATCTTTTCTTTAGAATAATTAATTTTTTATCTAGAACTTTTGAAGTTAGGTTAAAGTTTTTAGTTACCATAAAACTAGGTGATGAGTTCAACTTTCTATTCTAACTCCTTTCTATATATATATATAATTATTTAAAATATATGCGGAGACATTATTTAACTACCTCAAGTTTATGAATCTGTCCTTTTTTGCAACAAACTAAAATCACATTAAATGTATACTTAGTTAATATATTTTATGAATATTAAATCAAGCAAAACATCTATAAAAAGAACATACAATATCTCAAATAATAAAATTAAACATAATTTCTTTTGATCTTAAATGTGTGAAGAAATCAATAATAATGGATGAAATGCGTAAAATATTGTATGGGTACACCATATACAATCTTACTTGCTTCCAAATTTTTTTGCAACAGTAATAAATGTTAGAAAAATTTAACTTATAATTGAATTAAATAATAATATCAAAAAACAATTAAGAGGTCATCACAATACCCTTTACCCTATATATAAATGATCTAACAAAATATAAGGCTCATGGTAAAAATTCTCTTGCTCGTTGATAATTATCTCACTCATTCAAAAACTATTAAAGTTTTGAAAAATATTGAATTATTTTTCTTGACACCTAACACGATATCAAAGATTTAACCTTATGACATGGAGATCATATGTGCTTTCAAGATGCATCATATGGATTTTATCAAAATATTTTGGAGGGTTATGAAATTGGGATCTCAAATCTAAAGAAAATATTTAAGGTGCAATGAATGAATCTTGTAGTCTTGGCTTAGACAACAAATTTTCAAGCATGTGTGATTACAAATTGTTTACATTGTAAAATTATATAAATAACGTGGCTTTAAAGAATTTGAATCAACATTTAGATGATAGGCGTTCAACAGTTGCATGGTCTCATCAAAGAGTTAAAGCATCATAATACAACGGATGTTGAGTATTATTTAGACTTCGTTTGTTTGTTGGAAAATAGTTTTTTTTTAAAAGTGAATTTCGAGAAAGTGAATTACTTTCTGATATTTGGTAGTGTAATAGAAAATAAGTTGGAAAACAATTTCTAATGTTTGGTTATGTCATGAAAAATGAGCTGGAAAATAACTTATTAATATTTTATTTTTTCAAGTTTATTAAAATAATAAGGAACAAATCTTATAAATTAAATAGTTGAATGAGAATGAAATTGAAAAAAAAAATATAATTTCATAAATTATCTCAAATAAAATAAATAATAATCAAAATAATAGAGATCAAATCTAAAAAATTAAAAAAAATAAAAGATGAAGAAATTAAAATAATAATAATCAATATTTTATAAATTATTTCAAATAAAATAAGTAATAATCAAAAGAAT